AGCAGTGACGCGGCGGGTGAGTCAGCGCTCCCCTCCCCCTCCTCCGCACGGTAACGTAACGGTGACGCAACCGGATTGTAACGGTAGTAACAGCGGTTACTACCGCTAGCGTTGCTAGCAACACAGCGCCAGGCAACAAGGGTGCCTATTACGTGGCCGTATTGTCCGATCGAGGCTACATAAGGAGCAGCGAAGGCTATTCACAGTCAGTTGTACTGTGACAGTCGCCGAGTGCGTTATCAACGACTTCTCAGTTCGCAAGTTACGAGCTACAGCCGCGTGTGCGATAATCAGTGATAACCAGTCATATCTGGAGTCTGTAATTCAGGGAGACTTGTATAGCTCCCGCATTATTAGTACGTGAAGACTCTTGAAGAGAGTGTTAAGAGATTTTGTTCTAGGGTTTGTAAAGAGTGGAAACCCGTAACATTGTTATAATCAATTGTAGCCGATAGTTGTAGATTGTTGAATAAACCAATTAACGATCTCTACGGCCTATTCAGTAACGAAACACGTTACAATATGATAGTTTTTGTGCATGGTTGTAAATAATCCTTGTAAACTTTGTGGGGGTCTATATAGTGTCAGAACCCGTTGAGGAGGAAAAGGTCAGAAAATATTTCACATTCATTCAGTTTCACCATGGCTTCTGGCAGCAAGTGTCGGCGTGTTCCTACAGACCTTCTGGAAAGTGTCGTGAACAAGATTTGTGCTGATGATGATAGTGGCGATGAAATAATGATTCCTGAATTAGATGAAGTTGATAGTGACAATAATACAGTGATAGACAATCATCCACAAGACAGTAATCATGAACATTTACCTACCACGAGTGTGGTGCCCATCTCATGGACGTACGGAGTGATTGTACCAACAATAGTTCCATTTACTAGTAGTTCCGGGATCAAAATTGATATAACACATAAAATGCATCCCTTTTCATGGATTAAAATTTTTTCTGGATGATGGCTTAGTAAATCACATCACAACTGAAACCAATCGCTATGCTCACCAGCACTTCAACACACATGAGTTAGCTCCTCACTCTCGAAAACATAATTATAAATATGACACATCAGATGAAATCTGGACATACTTAGGAATTGTGTTCATGACAGGAATCAACAAACGCCCTGAAATTGAAGAATATTGGTCCACTAAGCCCCTATTTCACACTCCATGGTATGGACAAAACATGTCTTTGCGGTTGAAGAGTTTCATTCTATTCAAAAAGAACACAACAAACAAAAAATACAAGAAGAGAAATTACAAATTCAAAGATTTTATAATGGACTGTGTAGAAAAATGACTGAACCAAACAAACAGTGTGGAGAGGGATAAGAGTCAAGAAATGAATACGAATCTATTGCGTGAGACTCAAGTGCAGTCACGCCTCCGCCCGCGACCTTGAAAAGACCACCAGTGAAAGAGCCAGCAAATCGTCTAGAGGGTGGCCTGAAAATTCACAAAATGGTCCATGTTCCTCCCAGTAACAATAAGAAGGATGGTGCCCTGAGAAAGTGTCACTTGAGTGCTAAGCACAAGATTAGAAAAGAAACAAGTGTCATGTGTGCAGGATGTGGTGTGGCTCTCTGCAAACTTTCATGTTTCAATGTTTATCACACGAAGAAAAACTACTAAAGAGGTATGGAAAGACATTTATTGCATAAAATATTTTCTTTTTATTAGTTCCTGAAAATTTCGTTTATAAAAACCAATTTTTGTTGAAGTTGTTTAGAAAAAAGTAACTACATGCATTTTAGCGACATAAGGTTTAAAGGGCCTGCCAGGACAGGGGTGGGATTTAAATACCCTTCGTGCCAGTCAAAGAGTTAATATGATTTCAGTCTCAGTACTTTCTGACCAGATCTTTAAACTGTAGACATCAATTTTATAAACACTGTTGACCAATTTCTGTGAAATTTGATATGAATAGCTTACTATTGGAGACTTCCCCTATTTTGTTATTTTTGTTTGTGTTTTTAGCCTACCTTCCTTAAAAAATGAAAGAAGGCTTATAAGATCACCATGTTTTTTCTACAAACTGCATAAAATGATTTTACAATGAAGAGGTCATATTTGTCCATCCATGTTTCTTTCCTGAACTACCAGTGAGTTCAATGAAATTTAGTATTGATAGGCCACACTAAAAGTCTGTAAGACTGAAGTGTTCCATCTTCTGGTTTATAATGCCATGTAATTTAGTAAAAATCTGCTTGCTGCCTGCTTACTGCTGGTTTATTGGTTGCCTTATTCTTCATCCCTGAAAACAGAGGTTATATGCTCCTCTGAAATACTGGTTGAGTTCACTAGGCTACACAGTGTTACATCCCAAAAGATAGAAATCTTCAAATTGAATTTTAGTTTGTATCGGTTGAAAAGAATCCGTTTATGTGAAGTTCAAATTGAACATCCTGCCTGTGTCAAAAATGGTTGTTCTGTTAAAAGTTTGTACATGGTATGAAATATGTATGTCATTAAATTCATGACATTTTTATTGCTGTGAGTATTCAATGAAGTAAACTGTTAGGAGGAAATAATTCTTTATTTTATGCAGTGTGAATAGCTTTGCAAGAATATGTTTGTTTCTGCAACACATTGGTATCAATAATTGATCTTTATTTTCTTTCAGTTTAAAAAATACATAGTTAAAGATAAATCATTTTGTGCAGGAATGCAGTTTCAACTAATGTATCCCTTCAGATTACTGCAGATGTATTTACTGCTCATTTCATTGCTTCAGTTGTTCATGATAAGTGACTGAAATGAGATTACCGTGGTAATATATAGATTTAACAGTGGTTGAGAGGAAAGGACAACATGAGCTTAAAATTTATGAGGAGAATAATGGAAGATGATAACTGAAGAGTTATTCCCACAGAAGTGGGAATCTGGCAAGCAACAATTTTGGCAATGAAAATTTATCTGTGCATTTAGCCATGCTTGTTTGGCAGTTTTCATCTCGACACAGTATTCTGCAAGTGAGACACCCAGGTCACCAGATATGACCTCATGTGTTTTTCCCTTATTCTCTAAACTTAAAAAAGTGTAAAATAACAATATGGTGATCATCTGAAATATTTTGGTGCATTGATGATAAGTGATGGCTTGTAGCTGGACAAATTGAACTAGTATGGGGACACATAGAAAGTCTATTAGTAGTAGGACTGGAATTGAAACCTATATGGTCTCATACTTTAATTTTGAAATGAATCACATCAATTTGAATGCATTTATCACTTTTGCTGTGTGAATGACCTTCCTGTTCATATTACAGATCGGCCATTGTCATGGAATGTTCCTCATGTGAGTGAAACATATGATTGTGATGGGTGTTTTGCATTCTCTGCTCAAGCCATCTGCTCTCACAGTAGAAGTGACCACAACTTCTATGCAGTTTGTCAGGTGAGGATGAGACAGACACTATAGTGTTCATTTCTTTCTTCTTTAACAGCACAATCATCACTCTACTTATCATTATTATCACTTTGAAATGTTTGTGATGACATTGCCTTAGTCACAATGACAGCATCACTGTAAATGTCACAATCTGTGCACTGTAAAGGAGGTTCACAGACGACTGACTTTCTGACTGCCTGCCTGATTCATTCATTGGTTTATACCTAATTCAAATGAACTGGTTAATAAAACAAACAGATCAAATGAAACCTGAACTAAACTTTAAAACAACCCCATCCTGTGTAGGATTTGAGATTCTCACAGCAGTTGTAATGAAGATTTCTGTCTTCTGTGATGGATGTCATATATTCTGTTGAAAGTCAACCAGTGTTTTGGAGGAACATGTTTACTCCATCTTCAGGGATGGAAAGAAATCAAGCAAGAAGCAGAAAGTGAGTAGAGCTGTTGGTTTCCTGCTTGACTTACTATTCAACCCTGAAGGTGGAGGAGGCATATTCCTCCAAAACATGGGTTGATGTTGAACAGACTACTTGCCATTATATATCATAAGATGGAACTCTTCAAACCTAGCCTACCCCTTTATAGTAACATTTTCCCAGTTACATATGTAATTATTAAACCATAGATCACCAGGATAGAAGATGAAGTTTTCTTGTGCTTAATTAGCAGCACCATGCCATGAAGGCATATTGGGAGTTGTGATATAGCTCCACCATTTCTGACCTTGGCACTTATGTAGCTGAGTGGTCAGCTTTATGGCCTGACTGCTGTACCTCCAGGGAAGGAGTACTTGGTGTACACCATATGAGAGTGAAATTGTTGTTCATAATTTAGGGGAGACAACCTGCCTCTTCCACAAACAACACAAAATAATGTTGTTAACCTTTATTAGATGTAAGGGAATATATGTATTTATCCAACTATATGTGTGCAGTGGTCCGGTCTAGAAAACCGAAATTAACGACCATGGGGATTCATTACACTGACCACGTGACACACTCTACCCGCAAAAGTTGGCACTAAGTTTGCCGACAAGCGGCAGTCACTCGTTCGGTACAGTTCACTTGTGGACTAAAATCACGGAGTTTGTTTTTTTGTTTGTTATATGTGCACTGGAATGGCTGTGTGGAAGAAGCTGTGACCCACAGGTACAGAAATGTCGATTCTATGCAAGTTTAATCTCTTGCTGTGCTTTAAAAATAACTGTGAGCATCCAAGATTGTCACATTTTATTAGAAAAATGAACCCCATTTGAGAAGTTGCTTAGGTTAGGAGAAGATGTAACACAATGCAAAACTATAGAACATTTGGTAGTTTTATTTCTTTTTCCAAGTAGTATTCCTTGTTATCACAGAATCAGATAACATATGATGCTTTCTTTGTGTAGTCTTACTTGTATACTTAACAGCTCCCAACCATGTTTTTTATGAAGGCATGCATAGTTAAACATATACTTACTTACTCATGGAGCTGAGCCCTTCTTGGGGAGCCACCAATTCTGCAGGTACTCAAGAATTCTCCAGCATTTTATGGAACCCAAAGGTTCATTACCATGTTCACAAGTGCCCTCCACTGGTCCCTATCCTGAGCCAGATCAAGCCAATCAATACCATCGCATCCTATCTCTCTAATATCCATTTTATATTGTCCACCTACCTACACCTTGGACTTCCCAGTGGTCTCTTTCCTTCTGGCTTTCCCACCAATATCCTATATGCATTCGTCTCGCCCATCCGTGCTACATGCCCTGCCACCCACATCCTCCTTGACTTGATCATTCCAATTATACTTGGAGAAGAGTACAAGTTATGAAGCTCCTCATTATGCAGTTTTCTCCAACCTCTCTTCATCTCTCTTCAGTCCAAATATTCTCCTTAACACCATTAATCTGTGTACCTTAATTTCAGAGACCAAGTTTTGCACCCATACAGAACCACAGGCAAAATTATAGTTTTGTATGTTCTAATTTTTATGTTTTTGGACAGCAGACGAGAAGACAAAAGGTTGTGGACTGAATGGTAACAAGCATTATCTGAGTTCAGTCTCCTCTTAATTTCCTCCTGAATCAGGTTTTGATATATGGTCATTACCAAATATCTGAACTGTGCCATAATTTGAAAACATCTGTTTCCTATCTTTATGTCATGATTTTGCCCTGCATTTTGGTGATGAGACAGCAACATATACTTAGTTTTCTGTGAAGCACAATAGACCAATGAAGGTCGCAGTGCTAGGGCCAGTTTTATGGCTCACAGTCATAATCATAGTTTTCTCTGTGTTTACTTCTAGACCAACCTCCTTACTTGCATCAGTTAAAGTTTGTATGTTTTTCTTTATGGTATCTATATTAGCACCCAATAAATTCACATGCATAGACCAACAGCTGATGTATCCCGTTTAATTTCAGTCCCGCCTTGTTTTCCTGGACCTTCCTAATGGCATATTCTAAAGCAAAGTTGAAAGGGAGTGGCGATAAAGCATCTCCTTGTTTTAGACCATTCTGGATAGGAAATTTATGAGACAAATATTTACCTATATGGACTTTACTATACTTTTCATTTAAACACATTTTAATCAGCCTAACTAGTTTCATGGGTATCCCAATCTCTATCATAATATTGTACAGTATTTCCCTCTTAACTGAATCATAGGCTTTCCTGAAGTCTATGAATAGCTGATGTACTGTCTCATTGTACTCCCATTTTTTCTCCAGAAGAGACTTTGGACCTGTCATCTGACAGATTACCAATGATGATGATGATCTGACAAATGCAAAAGATCAGATCTGTAGTTGATCTGTTATGTCGAAACCCACACTGATGATCCCCAATAATTTCATTATATATGGACTTAACCTTGAGAGAAGAATATTGAATAAAATTTTGTATGAAGTTGATATCAGTGATATTCCCCAATAATTACTGCAGTCAGTCTTATCAACCTTCTTGTCAACTGGTACAATAATAGACTCCTTCCACTGATCATGCAATTTTTCCTTATGCCAAATAGAATTAATTAGCTTGTGGATCTAAGAACGTAATATTTCACTTTCTGATTGAATAAGTTCTGCTGCAATTTGATCACTACCTGGCGATTTATACCATTTCAATTTTGCAGTAGCACTTTCCACCTTAAAAGGGCTAGGATCAGGTACTAACGGCTCAGCTGTATGGATTTCTGTCTGCCTAACATCACTGACCTTATGTACTAGGTGGTTCAAATATGACCGGGACTGATTTTTTTGTAAACAACCCACACTGCGCAGCAGCTGTGCGACCTTGAGAGATTGTAGCCACAACCTCCACTCTCCCTTCTGTTATGGTTAGAACCTGTTCAGTGCTGTCTGGGAGTTGCTAGAGGGATGAGTGTACAGGAGGTACCGGAGAGCATAGAACAACGCATTGTGATCAAATTCCTCGTTGGAGAAAACGTCCCGTCCGCTGAAATTCACCACAGACTCCAACAACAGTATGGGGAAGAGTGTCTCTCACAGACCCGTGTGTTTCAGTGGTGTAAGTGCTTCAGAGAGGGCAGAGAACACGTGGAGAATGAACCGCATGATCGTCGGCCGTGAACATCCGTCACCAAGCCAAACATTGATAATGCAGACGCACTTATTCGTGAGAATAGGCGCATCACTATCAAGGAACTTGGAGCAACGCTGTCCATCAGTGTTGGTAGTGTAGAAGATATCGTGAAATACCACCTGCACTATCGCAAGGTGAATGCACGGTGGATACCACACACTTTGACGAACGTGAACAAAATGGTGCACAAGCAAGCTGCCAGTTGTCTCCTACAGCAGTTTGAAGATGAAGGTGATGCATTTTTGAAGTCTGTAGTGACCACCGATGAAACATGGGTGCACTACTTCATTCCCGAGTCCCAGTGGCATACCAGTTCTCCCAAACCCAAGAGAGCACGGAGGAGCCGTTCAGCAGGAAAAGTGATGGCAACGTTCTTCTGGGACTGGCAGGGGGTTATCCATGTAGACTTTCTGACAGATGCCAGAACAGTCAATGCAGCTTATTACTCAGACCTCCTGGCAACAGACGTGAAGGAAAAGATCCGATCCAAGCGGAAGACAGGTGGAAAGCGGGTAGCTTTCCTTCAAGACAATGCATGCCCCCATATGGGCAAAAGAACAATGGAAACCCTTCGGAAATTGAAATGGAACCTTCTGACACATCCGCCATACAGTCCCGATTTGGCCCCAAGTGAATTCTACCTGTTTGGAAGGCCCAAATCAGACTTGCAAGGCATGTGGTTTGTGGACGACGACGCCATCATCCAGACTGTTAGGGAGTGGATATGCCGCCAACCACAAGTCTTTTTTTTTGGGCATCAGGATGCTTCCAGAAAGTTGGAAACAATGTGTTGACCCCGGAGGGGAGTACGTTGAAGACTGACATGTGCAAGTAAGTGTTTGGCAATTATGTATTTCTTTTAAAAAATCAGTCCCGGTCATATTTGAACCACCTTGTACATTCAATAGCTGAGAGAAATAGTTCCTCCACCAATTAAAAATGTTGTGGGAATCTGCAAGCAGATCACCATTCTCATCCTTCACTAAGTTACTGCTAGGCTGGTAACCCTTCTTAAAGTCATTTATTCCTCTATACAGGTCTCTAATGTTCTTTTTCTTACTGTTCATTACAAGCTCATCAATTTTGTCTTTCAGATATTCCCTCTTTATTCCTAAAATGCCTACTGGTTTCGTGTCTTATATTGTTCAGATTATCCACATTTATTTCGCTTGGATCCTGTAACCATTCCAATTTGGCTTGCTTTTTTGGTCTAATAATTTTGAGCATCCTTCATCGAACCATGGCCTATGTATCTTCAGGTCATAATAACCTACACTCTCCTTGGCAGAAATTTTGATATGCTCTCTGACAGTTTCCCAAGCTTTTTAAACATCCACCTCAGTGTCCAAGTTTTCCAAAGCCGCGAACCTATTTTACATTTCAACACGATACTGCTCT